TGAGAGTACAGCATGCATTTGTATCTCATTTCCGATTCACTGACATATATCAAACTATTTTTCCGGATCACTTTGATTCATTGAATTAGTGTCTTTTTCAGGAATTCAAACGGATTGCAGGCGTCAGATGGAATAAAATATTCACTTACTCGTGCTAAATCGGAACGCGTTGGAAATATACCTAACCAATTTCCGTTGCAGTGAAATAATGGAGCATTATCTGGGGATATCCTGGCTCAGACTCGACACTAAAGATATTTATTTTGAAACTAAAGATTAAAACGTATTTCTATATTTTAACGTTATCGTTTCCTGTGAACTTGATAGTGGCTTAGAAGGATTTCCAATAGTGTATGTGATCCAACAAGAAATGGTTGAATCTTACACTTGTATCTTATCATGTCCAAACTTATCACGTAACCTCCCAATATGAAGCAGAACCTTTTGCTCTCAGCAATACCACAAATATCAACATTGACCTAGGCCAGGGCCCGTATTCATGAAACCGAATATCATGCTCAAGCTGCGATTTTGTGCTCAAGCCTAATTTCTTGCATCAGTTACAAGTTGATAAAAAGCATTTTATTTTTTCAATGATTTGGGGGAAATTAAAAACACCTAAAGCCGTATACTGTTTTGAGGAATTTACTTGATTTAAGTAAGTTAAAAAAAACGAGTTTGAGCACAGAATCCGTGCATAAGCATGAGAACGGTTTCACAAATACGGACCCATGTATACATTGTGGTAATCCAAGATTAAAGATCTGAATAAATACTTCACAATGTTTATTTATCAAAGAAATATTAGTAACTTGTAATATCATTTGTTTTTAATTCATCATTGAATTATTCCTGGACCGATTTCCGATTTCTCTCCCTCCCCCTTGTCTTCCTTCCTTCTTTTTTCCTCCCTTCTTCCTTCCTTCATTGGTCGATTATATCATTAACTCCATACTTTAGTTGACTAGTATTCAATGAGTATTCTTAAGAGTTAATTTGACTTTCCCTTGCCTTATGAACAGGCACTCAATTTTAGCTATATATAATTTTACGATTTATGACCGGCTACAATACCCGTAGCAGATTTCGGTAATCTATTACGTCATATTTAAACTTTAATTGTATTTTAATAATCGTTTGCAATATTGGAATGTTGTTGTTTGGACTGTCTTTCTATTGGTCGGTATCACAGGTATATGGTACGTGAACAGTGACGTCAATTTAAGTCTTTTCGTTAGTAATAATATACAACATTTATATAGCGCCCTATTTAATTTGTAAAATTACTTTAAAGCGCTTTACAACATATGAATAATAGTAATAGTTATAATTGTGAAACAAAAACAAATGCTTACAATCACTTTTATACATTTAAGCAAGCAATGGGCACATAATTGAACAAATAAAGGGTTGTATCTACATGACGTCTTTGCAGAGACCATAAAATGCAGACGTGAAGAGGTGAGTTTTGATGTCCCTCTTGAATTTGGCCAGGGTATTTGACTTTCTAATAGCAGATGGTAAGCTTTTCCAAAACGTGGCTGAAACCCTCCCAAAGCACCGGTTTCCATAAGTCACAGTACGAGATTTTGGGACTCACATTAATGATTCTGACTCCGATCGTACTGATCGTAACGGCTGATACAGGGTAACAAGCTCCTGTAGGTACTGAGGAGCTGTTCCATTCAGTGCCTTGTATGTGCACACCAAAATTTTGTACTGCGACCTGTATCGTACAGGTGACCAGTGCAAAGAATATAGCACATGTATGATGATCTCTCTCTTTCGAGTACGATTAGTTAGTTTGTCAGATATTCCGTCTTTTCGTATTGCAGAGTTATCTGCTCTTGTGAGCAGGTATTGATTGTTACGTCATTTGTTAGTGAGAGTAACATCATCAATTTTTGAGAAACGACGTTATTTTCTCACACAAACCAATGACGTAACAATCAATACCTGCTAAAAAGAGAAGATAACTCTGCAATACGCAAAGACGGAATACCACAGAGCAGGGCGTTACCATAATCCAACCGAGAGGTAACAAGTGAATGCACCAAAATCTTGCATGCATCTTCAGTTATAAACTGCCGAATACAGCCGATGTTCCTGATCTGGTAGTAACAGGATTTGGCAATAGCGTCCACTTGTTTTCTCCATGTTCAGTGAACTATCAAAGTATACCCCTAGGTTTTCAACAGCTGGGACAGTCTCAATAGTTCTGGCACCGACCTTGAGCTGGAGAGCCATTGTTTGCTGACACTTTGGGGAAAAGACGATTAGTTCCGTCTTTTCCTGATTAAGCTTTAGCATGTTGGCGTTCATCCAGGTACTGATATCTGTCAGACAAGCTTCCAGATTTTCTGAAACTGTATCCCAACTGTCTTGTGGTTTGATGACCATGTAAACTTGTGTGTCATCAGCATAGCAATGATAGCGAAGACTATGGCAATATTTTCGGGGTCCTAACAACGACCCTTGAAGAACCCTGAAATCTAGTACTTTGTCATGTCAAGTGGTTGATCCGATGGCAACACACTGTCGTCTTTCACTCAGATAAGACTGTATCCAGCATAGTGCGGTATCAGTCACTCCATAAGAGTATTCCATACGTTTATAAAGTATGCCTTGGTCGATGTCGTCAAATGCAGCTGACAAGTCCAGCATGACAAGCACCGCTCTGCACTTGGTATCCAATGCAGAAGCTATGTCATTATGTACACGTAGGAGGGCCGTCTCAGTAGTGTCCCATGCGGTAGGTCGATTGCATGTTGTCATGGAGGCTGATTGCATGGAGATGAACCTCTAAACGACGGGACACAACCTTCTCCAAGATCTTAGACAGAAAAGGCAGATGTGAAACTGCGACGGTAGTTCTTCAACTCCTCCTTGTCCATTCCAGGCTTCTTTAACAATGGTCTTACATGTGCCTTCTTGAAACACAATGGAACCTTTGACTCAGCCAATGATTTGTTCATGATTGAGGCAATCAAAGGAAGCAGTGCTTCAAGACATTGCTTTAATAGGTCTGTAGGCAGTAGATCAAGCTCACAGGACTTCGATTGCGAGGTCATGATGATATTGCGTAACTCGTCCTGTGTTGTTGGTGAGAGCTTTGCCAATGGTTCCCCATCAAATTCAATGTCAGTAGTCATGACAGAGATATCATTGTCAGCAGAAGTGTTCACTTCGGCAATGTTTTTCCTGATTGAGCTGATTTTATTCAGAAAGTAATCACTGAACTTGTTTGATAAGACTTTTTTCAGAATTACAGCTTTGGTAGGATAATTTCACCTTTCTGGCCCATTAGGTTTTTGGTGAGTCTAAACAGCCGAATATGATCCTTACCACATTCTTCGATTCTTTCCGAATAATAAGCCTTCTTTGACTGAATGAGAAGTGAACCAACTAGCCGACATTGTTCCCTATAAATCTGTTGGTGAAGGGTTAATTTGGTCCGTCGCCACTGTCTATCTGCTTACGTTACGGTTTTTTCACAATGGATTATATATAAAAACAGAGAGACGTATATATCACATATGTGATATAGATAGGTCTAACCGAGAGGACTTAATTGGACAAAATATTTCTTCAAGAGAAGAATTTAACATCGTGTCAAATGGGAATAGTATAACTGTTCATGCTGAGGTTTCAAGTAAATCTCTATGTATCATATTACCGGGAGAAACACTGCATAGTGCTCTAACAGGATGCGAAGTTTTATATATACATATATATAAAAGATGGATTGTGTCAATAAAAGGACTTTTTGTGTAGAGCAACCTTATGCAAAAGGGACTCAATTTTGTATAAATGAAGGATGTGATCCCTTTGGTAGCATAGGGGCGAGGCCCTAATAAGGGAAATTTAGGTAAATCATTTAAAATTATTTTCCTTCTGTACATAAAGAGGGGTTTTAACCAAATTTTGTCTAGAACATCTTTGGGAAAGGGGAATTCACTTTTGTATAAAAGAATGGTGTGGCTCCCCTGGGAGCAGAGGGGCGGGGCCCGTTAGGGGGAACATATGGGAAAAAATTAAAATCCTTCTCCTTCTGTGTGATGAGGGATTTGAACCAAATTTGGTGTAGAGTATCCTTAGGCAAAAGGGACTCAATTTTGCATAGCTTCCCATGTGGCTTAGGGATGGGGCCCTTATAAGGGGAATTTAGGTAAATCATTTCAAATTCTTCTCCAGAATGTTTAACTTGGTCATTATTGAGATCCCCATCCGATAACCATAATAACAATTGCCGCGCATCAAGAGAAAAAAACACAATCATGATAAAAGAATTGACTTTTGGGTCTGTCCCCGCCCATATAGGGGCTTGATTTCTAAGCCATAAATTTGAAACAGTTGAGATCCGCACCCGATAACCATATATACCATTGCTAGACATCAAGAGACGAACATTATCATGATGTAGGAATTGACCCTGTGGTCTGGCCCAACCTTTAGGGATCGCGCCCCCCCCCCCCCCCCCCCCCCCCCCCCCCATCCCACTTATTATTTTGATGAAAATCGGAAGTTTACGGCAATATTTTTTTTACAAACAGTGCTTACCAGCCGATATAAGAATGTCTCCTTCGCGCTTCGGCGGTGGGGGAAAAGCGAGGAGGTGTAGCTTTATAGGATTATGATACTATGTATTTTGACAGACCACACCAAAGACTGGATCCAGAATTTAAATAGTACTGTTTTTCAGGTATGGGTTCATTTTGGGTGAGTTGTTCTTCTGTTTTCCGTGCGAACTTTTATTAAGTTTGTCAAACGATGGCCAAACTCCTAAATTATCTTCGTAAAGTTCCAAGCAGGTTACGAGATAAATCTAATACTAAATACACAAAATATGTTCAATTTTTGGCAACAGACCCAAGCACTCACTTTTAGAGCACATGTTCATATTGTGACTAACATGCATTTGTAAACTCGTGGTAATTTTTCTACCTGTCTCATTTCCATAAGGAGTTATCTACCTTTAACATTGAACTGAAGGTTATTTCCGGTAAAATGTCGTCGACGAAAATGGCGTCGAGCAAGAGAAAACAGGATGAAAAACATCTAAAAATGTTACGAGAGATGGCGGCATTGCCTCACAACAAACAATGCTTTGATTGCCACCAAAGAGGGCCAACCTATGTCAATATGACGGCCGGATCGTTCGTGTGTACGTCATGCAGTGGTATACTGTAAGTAGACTTGAGTTACACACTAACACAGTACACCTGTGCGGTTTCAAAACGTGGTACTGTCATTCTTGTCATCAAATCGCGTGTCGTCTGCACGGATTTTTTTTTATGAAAAATTGCATGTTATTTTAGTATGTGTGAGGTGTTTTGTAATGAATTGATCCATGATGGTTTTGTAAATTTTTGATGTGGTCTTGTTTATAAACATTGAACTTTTACAAGCAGTATTTTGACAGGGGGCGTCTCTTTAAAACTCCCTCATTATGCAAATTTACCTCCCTTGTAAAACAATTTTAACCTTTAATAAAACACCAGTAGGTCTTAGTCACCAGTGGTCATGTCATAGTTTGTGTCATGAACTATTAATACAAGTGACATGATAACGGGAATGAATAGCACTGCATTAATATTTATAATTACCTATATTTATATACCCCTAGCTCTGATTCAATTCTGTAGAAGTTAAATAAACTTGTTTTTTTTTTTATTATGGACCACAATGTATGACACCAAATGCAGTAGGAAAATGTTATTACATAGATCACTATTGATTATATTATTTGTATCATGATATTCGAAAATCATCAGCATCAATTTTTTTATTGGTTTCAGAATTATTTCAAATTTGGAATTTTTCATTTTGTTGAATAACGAAACAAAACATTTTTTTAGAGATTTGTCTTATACCATTGAGTAACCAAATGAATCACTTGAATGAAATCCTACTTTTGATAAGGTGCCAGCACTTTACTGAATAGTGTGCATGTTACAGAGAAATTGAAGTTGACCTAGTCTGATACTGCGTTAACATGTACAGATAATGGTAAATCAACATAGATAATGTTTGAGGATAATTATATTTGGATGACCTTCATTAGCAGGTGTAAATGGGAAAAAAATCACAATTTGAATAACGTTGTGGAGTTTTCCTAAAACATCTCTTTGAGATTTGTAAAAATGAGCATGATTTGTTGATAAATTGTCCTAGGTAAAAAAGACTATTGGAATAGACTGAAGGGAGTGTAAAATATGTTCATTGAGTCAAATTTTAACCGAACATCAGTATTAGCTTCCGTAATCTTCAGTGCACAAAACACATCGTAAAGAAAAATACAGTGTTACCAGTAATATCTGCACTGAACATCTGTTTTACATCCTTTCCCACTTCTACACAAAACACTCGTATCATGATCAGCAACCTTTACTATTTTTATGTCACAATCACAATATTATCATGACGTTACATTATAATGTCAGATTTGAAACCGTCAAAAGTGTCATTTAACTGACAGCGACTCTAGCAATCTTGCAATCGGCAATGGACAAGTGGACACCATTTCATGTATAAAGGCAAATTAAAAAATTGCAACTTTATTTGATTTTTGGGATGACCAACCACACACTCTTTCTACAGGGTCGGTACATGTACCACCATTCCCATCTCACGAACTACCATTCCAAATTACTTACCCCAACTGGCTATAGGGGTGACACCTCTATACCCACAGAATAGCCTAAACTACCCACAGGAGTAACACAACCTTTACCCACATTTCACAAAGTAGTCGCCCCCTAGGGTATGACAGAGGGCTTGGAAAAAAGGACAGTACATGGCATCAGAAGAATAATAAAATGAGGATGTCAAAATTGGCTTTCAGAAGAATCAGTCAGTTGCAAATTAGATTAAAGACACAGATTACAAATTGTGATAATCCAAATGTATTATTGATAGAATTGGAGAAAAAGAATCATCCTGAACGTTACATGTATATAAAAATATATGCCAGTGAATTTGAAATCTCCACCCTCTCGCGATCGGTGCAGGGCTCTTTCTGGGGCATTTCTGGGTCGAGTCAAGAATATCGCCCCCCAGGTTGAGATTTCTCTGTCATATTACATTCATGGTAGGGGAAATCATATCAATATCCCCAGAACTGCCACTTTACTTACTCCCAGGGTGACACAACCATCTCTCCAATATCAGGATCTATCACTTTACTTACCCCCAGGGTGACACAACCATCTCTCCAATATCAGGAACTATCACTTTACTTACCCTCCCAGGAGACAAATTTTACCATCCCTCCAATATCAAGAACTGCCACTTTACTTACCTCAAATGTGACAAATTCAGCACTCCAATATCAAGAATTGTTCCTTTACCCATCCCCAAGGTGACAAAACTATCCCTCAAATATCAAGAACTGCCACTTATTTTGCCCCCAAGATGACAAAACCAGCCCTCACATATAAAGAACTGCCACTTTACTTACCCCCAAGGTAACAAAACCATTCTTCCAATATCAAAAACTGCCTCTTTACTTACCCCAAAGGTAACAAAACCATTCTTTTAATATCAAGAACTGCCACTTATTTTGCCCCGAAGATGACAAAACCAGCCCTCACATATCAAAAACTGCCTCTTTACTTACCCCCAAGGTGACAAAATCATCCCTCCAATATCAAGAACTGCCTCTTTACTTACCCCCAAAGTGACAAAATCATCCCTCCATTATCAATAACTGCTTCTTTACTTACCCCCAAAGGGACAAAATCATCCCTCCATTATCAAGAACTGCCTCTTTACTTCCCCCCAAGGTGACAAAATCATCCCTCCAACATCAAGAACTGCCTCTTTACTTACCACCAAAGTGACAAAACCATCACTCCAATATCAAGAACTGCCACTTTACTTACCCTCAAGGCAACAAAACCATCCCTCCAATATCAAGATCTGCCTCTTTACTTACCCCCAAAGGGACAAAATCATCCCTCCATTATCAAGAACTGGTTCTTTACTTACCCCCAAAGTGACAAAACCATCCCTCCAATATCAAGAACTGCCACTTTACTTACCCTCAAGGTAACAAAACCATCCCTCCAATATCAAGAACTGCCACTTTCTTTACCCCCAACATGACAAAACCATTCCTCCAATATCAAGAACTGCAACTTTACTTTCCCACAAGGTAACATTACCATTCTTCCAATATCAAGAATTCAAACTGCCACTTTATTTACCCCAGGGGTAACACCTATATCAGTTTCTAATGGAGCCAAATTAACTAAAAGCTATTTTTGCTTCTCAATAAAATATCACTACAAAATAAGACATTTCATGACCAGTCATGAATATGACTGAAAAATCAAGCTTTCAGTTGATATGAAGTCCAAAATTATCTGATTGTTATTCAGATAAATGTCTTGAACAAAAGCGTCCAAAAGCATTTTTCAAAAAGTTTTTTTTTTTTATTTATATAGATGTTGTTAATATTAAAATAATATTTCTGCTTCATTTTTCCATTTTAGACGTGGTATAAACCCTCCACATCGTGTGAAGTCTATATCAATGACAAGCTTTACACCTGACGAGATGGAATTTCTCAAATGCCATGGCAATGATGTAAGTACAAGGCACTAAATATTCTGGGTGTTGTATAACTTGAAAGATTACGCAAAACTGAAGAATTTTTTCATGGTGGAGACTTTCAGGTCAAATTTGAATAGTTTCTCATCTCATTGGTTATGAATTATATGAATAACTCTCCCAACACAATGAGTAATCACTGATATATACAATTCTATTGAAATAATAAGATAAAAAGATCCTGTTTATGTTATGATATATCTCATGATTCAAATAAGTGATAGAGTCCCGGGTTTTTTCGGGGGTCATTTCCAATGTTAATGTTTCTAACATTTCCCAAAATTTCTTTTTTTCCCTAGCAAAAATAGAAGTATTTTTTAATTTTCAGTTTGCATTCAGATGACAACACAACAGCAACATCAAAAATGAAATAATCTATGATAAAGAACTATGATTTAAGGATGTTTTAGTCTTTTAGATGATACTTTGCAAAAAGAAAAGGGAATATTTGGTTTAACTATGAAAGTTCCCAATATGGGTTACTGCGACACATTTTTTTTCCCAATTCTTATATCCCCATTCCTAAAATATGTGGATCCCCCAGAAAAGCCTTGGGTTCTTAAGTGGTTTTTTTTCATTACTGGATCATCCAGGACTCAATTTTCTTTTCTGGGTCTGGTTATTTTAGGACTGAATATATTCAGTTTTCGAAGAGTTGATCACTATCATCTAATTATTTAAATTTTCAAAATAAAAATTGAGAAACAATTATAAAGATGTATATGTTTTAATTTGTTTTCTTTAGATGAAACATTTGAATCTCTAGATACATACAGTATTCGTTTTTTATTGTAATAATTTTGAAAAATACTAGACAAAAATATTGTTATAAAAATTTGTTAAGCTTATAAAATACTTTGAACAACTTTGCCGTAGCCCTAAAGTTACGACTTAAGTATGGACTTGTTCTGTTTCATGAAGATCTTAAATATATTGGATACAGGAATGGCGGAAATTGACCAAACTTACTAATGTATGACATGTTGCACAGCTTTGTAGGAAAGTATATTTGGGGCTGTACGACAGTCGGTCTTGTCCTGAGCCTGATGCCAGAGAGGAACAAAAAGTGAAAGACTTTATGGTACAAAAATATGAGAGGAAGCGATTCTATGTGGCACCAACAGAGGCGATGAAGGAGGAGGCGCGGCACATGAACGAAGCAGCGATGAACAAACAACCACAAACCAAACCTTTGAAGTCCCTTCTTGGGAACAACACCACCCCTTTGGTTGTCCAAAATCAGGTATGTACACATGTACACCAGGCCCACGTGTATAAAACATCTCAACTCTTGAGATTTCCTCAAGTCTAAGATTTCCCATAGACAATACATTGCTTGAGATTTTCCTTAACTTTGAGATGTTTTATGCAAGTGGGCCCTGACACTTAATATTGCTTACATCCTAAAGCTTCCGTATCTTCAAATATTATTACCATACTTGCCAACTCTCCCTGTTTTGGAGGGAGACTCACAATTTTGGAATCTTATTTTTTTTAGATTTGAATTATCTGAGGATTTAATCTGAATGAACAGCTCAAAATATGCTGATAAAAGGGCTATTTTTCCCTAGAGCGTACATACACACGTTTGATTATGCTTTAATTCTGACCACATGTTATTGCCCACATGGAAATTTCAAAAAGTATGTAGTATATCTACACCACCATGATGTTTAATGGGGGAAGGTGTCTTTTCTTTGAAAAAGAAGGTAAATTTGAATTTAGGACATATTCCAGAAACCGACCAGACAAAATGAAAGGTGTTTTACATTACAGGTGCGACTGTCATATGTGAAGTTAGGGGTGAGGGGCGGGGTAATTTTTGCTGCATACTTGGTCTGAAGAAATACGCAAAATATATTTATCTGTACCCTGTACGTAAATTTGGTGCCCTTAAATCACTGTGACGTCACAGTTCCTGGCAATTGTTTCCTGCATCTGAAACAGGAATAACAGATTCCAAAGAGAAACATGGTTTTCTAGAAATAATATCTGAACATTGTGTGAGAAAAAGGTTCCCAAGCTTGTGATGGTTGTTTTTCATGTTTTTCTGAATCTCATTAATTAACTTTTGAATTGTAAAATACACTCGGTAAGCTCTGTGTCTTTCTACAATTTGAAAATTAACAACTGAAGTTAGATAAACATAATAACCAACCCTTAATTGTTTGGGATCCTCTATTTATTCCAACTGATTCAAGAGCTTAGTGACTGGTTATCAACTTTAATGAATACGATCTACTTAAGGTGTCCCAATTTAACATCGTAGTAACACGTAACTGGATTGTGGAGCTGCTATCGGAGCATTCATTATCCTAGCTGGATGGAAACACTGTTTTCAAACAGCAAACCTTTCTCTTGCTTCTGACACTGTTGGACGGAAATATTGAAAATGAAGTATATAGTGTGGAATGGTATAACTGTAAGCACAACTTAATTGTAATGTCTACTTGAGTGGCAGTAAATAATTCCATTACAAGAATATCCTGACTACTCCTGACTGTTATAGGACATGTATACATTATTGTCGTATCTGTAGCTAAGGGCTATACATGTTCTGTGTAAACACTTTTCAGTACAATTGAAAATTTCAATCTCTAATATTTTCTTCATGATCAAGTTGTAAACAAATCGTTTTCTGCATTTTGTCAAAGTTAACTTTACTATATTTTGTCAAAGTTACCTTAAGCTGACAAAAAAGTGTATGAAACTACAAAACTGAGCTTTTCAAATAAATAATTTAAGCATATGAAGTTGAAATTAATTAAATTGAAACTTTATATATCTCTGAATAAATACCTGATACTTGTCAATGTCGACCCTGATATGGATGATAAACAAAGATTTATTGAACTGAAGTGTGTCATGGGAGAGAAATAAAGAATTCATTGAACAAAAAGTGTGATATGGCTAAACAAAACAAAGATTTATTGAACTGAAGTTTGACATGGGGTAAAACAAGGATTTATTGAACTGAAGTTTGACATGGGGTAAAACAAAGATTTATTGAACTGAAGTTTGACATGGGGTAAAACAAGGATTTATTGAACTGAAGTTTGACATGGGGTAAAACAAGGATTTATTGAACTGAAGTTTGACATGGGGTAAAACAAGGATTTATTGAACTGAAGTTTGACATGGGGTAAAACAAGGATTTATTGAACTGAAGTTTGACATGGGGTAAAACAAAGATTTATTGAACTGAAGTTTGACATGGGGTAAAACAAGGATTTATTGAACTGAAGTTTGACATGGGGTAAAACAAGGATTTATTGAACTGAAGTTTGACATGGGGTAAAACAAGGATTTATTGAACTGAAGTTTGACATGGGGTAAAACAAGGATTTATTGAACTGAAGTTTGACATGGGGTAAAACAAGGATTTATTGAACTGAAGTTTGACATGGGGTAAAACAAAGATTTATTGAACTGAAGTTTGACATGGGGTAAAACAAGGATTTATTGAACTGAAGTTTGACATGGGGTAAAACAAGGATTTATTGAACTGAAGTTTGACATGGGGTAAAACAAAGATTTATTGAACTGAAGTTTGACATGGGGTAAAACAAGGATTTATTGAACTGAAGTTTGACATGGGGTAAAACAAGGATTTATTGAACTGAAGTTTGACATGGGGTAAAACAAGGATTTATTGAACTGAAGTTTGACATGGGGTAAAACAAAGATTTATTGAACTGAAGTTTGACATGGGGTAAAACAAGGATTTATTGAACTGAAGTTTGACATGGGGTAAAACAAGGATTTATTGAACTGAAGTTTGACATGGGGTAAAACAAGGATTTATTGAACTGAAGTTTGACATGGGGTAAAACAAGGATTTATTGAACTGAAGTTTGACATGGGGTAAAACAAAGATTTATTGAACTGAAGTTTGACATGGGGTAAAACAAGGATTTATTGAACTGAAGTTTGACATGGGGTAAAACAAGGATTTATTGAACTGAAGTTTGACATGGGGTAAAACAAAGATTTATTGAACTGAAGTTTGACATGGGGTAAAACAAGGATTTATTGAACTGAAGTTTGACATGGGGTAAAACAAGGATTTATTGAACTGAAGTTTGACATGGGGTAAAACAAAGATTTATTGAACTGAAGTTTGACATGGGGTAAAACAAGGATTTATTGAACTGAAGTTTGACATGGGGTAAAACAAGGATTTATTGAACTGAAGTTTGACATGGGGTAAAACAAAGATTTATTGAACTGAAGTTTGACATGGGGTAAAACAAGGATTTATTGAACTGAAGTTTGACATGGGGTAAAACAAGGATTTATTGAACTGAAGTTTGACATGGGGTAAAACAAGGATTTATTGAACTGAAGTTTGACATGGGGTAAAACAAGGATTTATTGAACTGAAGTTTGACATGGGGTAAAACAAGGATTTATTGAACTGAAGTTTGACATGGGGTAAAACAAGGATTTATTGAACTGAAGTTTGACATGGGGTAAAACAAGGATTTATTGAACTGAAGTTTGACATGGGGTAAAACAAGGATTTATTGAACTGAAGTTTGACATGGGGTAAAACAAGGATTTATTGAACTGAAATGGGGCATTGGATAAAAAAATAATGATTTATTGAAGATAAAATGTGTGATGGCTGAGAAAACAATAATTATCATTTATTTTAAAGTGGTACAACTGCCATGTGACCAGAAATTAATTAAAGAACTCAAGTTAATGAAGCATGACATGTAACTTGAATATGTGTATCTGTTCTCTGGTTCGTTCGTTGGTTCGTCGGTTCGTTCGTTGGTTCGTTCGTTAAACCATTTCCCAATTAGTAGTTACAATTTTAAACAGTGGTGTGGGCATCCTTAATAAATGACTATATAGAGTAAAGTGTTCTCATTAACATATCAGCCTGTACTTTTATCTCTGTGATACTTATCTTTGTCTGTTTTAGTGATAGGCTGGGGGAGGTACCAGCTGGTACATATATACTGGTACGTACCAGGCCTACAATGTAGCTAGGACTTCCATATTTGGGCATAAGTGGTTTGATCTTTGTTTAATCAGTGATAAAAACAGAACAGATAAATTTGTAAAAAAACAATCTGCATTGTTTATTTTGCTCTAGCAATAACATTTTTGGCAGTTCAATTTGTATTAATTAAAGCTGCAGGTGCACTTCCTGGTATCAGTTGGATTATATACACTGGGTGTAAACTTTCATCCTGTGATGGCGTGGAAAATTCACACTCATTGTACCTTAACTCATTCATCCCTGAAATTTCATAATGAACTATTCCAAACTTTGAATTGGAAGAGTTCAAATGTGTCTTCAGGGGTGATTACGGGTGAGTGAGTTCGTGTGTCTAGAAGTCATGACATAGGTAATTGTATAACATATGTGGTATAGCGCCCAGGTATGGATACTCGTAATTGCAAAATGTTTGAATTTAAATCACTGATATTTCACAGCTACAGTTAAACTCTTTCCCTATCATACTTAACATCTTCTGGATCCCCAGAACCATAGTTTAAAAGTTTAACTCTTTCCCCATTATACTTAACATCTTCTGGATCCCCAGAACCATAGTTTAAAAGTTTAACTCTTTCCCTATTATACTTAACATCTTCTGGATCCCCAGAACCATAGTTTAAAAGTTTAACTCTTTCCCTATTATACTTGACATCTTCTGGATCCCCAGAACCATATAGTTTGCTTAATGTGAAATTCTGATATATTTTTTTCTCCATTTTTCTTCAAAGTAACTGTTGATGGACTTCATAAAATATTATGCCTCATGCAATCTTCTACTAAGTAGATGTAAAGTGTTTGCCTTGTGTGCCAGTTCTGTACTCATCTACTGTAAATGGTTTACTTTCTGGAGCAGTGCTCGCGATCGAGCTCCTATAATTTCATTTAGGATCATATATCAAAATTGTCATATAATATATGTACATTGATAGGGAAGTGTCTTAAACCAAAACTAGGTCACTGTGACCTCTATTTTGACCCTTGACAATGATATATTTAAGCATTTGTGATATACTATTTCATGTAAAGCCTTCAAAATATGTTGTGGGTACAAATAGGATAGAGAGGGGGTTGTTAACTTGCTCACTGTGACCTATATTTTGACCTTTGATCACAGTAAAGGAAACATTCTTGAAGACCAAAATTTGGAAATACTGATCTTGGCCTGCACAGGCAATGCAATAGTAACATTAGAATTTTACTATTCAGGCAAGTGGATTTCCGGGGCCTTC